ATTGGGGATCACATTTTTATTTTATTTTATTTTATTTTATTTTATTTTATTTATTGAATCAAAATTGATTATACATATTTTGGGGGTTGAACATTGAGATATGTTGATTAAATCAATATCACTAGCATATATATATATTGTTACAAATCGTAATTATATTCTTTACGCCCCTTTCCAATCTCTCCCCATCCCCCATTCCCTCCCCCTCCACCCTCTAATCACTCTAGATTTCTTCTCTCCTTCTGAAAGAATAATGGTTACTCTGTTAATTTGTTGCCTAGATGATCTGTCCAATGCTGAGAGGTGTGATCAGGTCCCCCAATATTATCATAGAGCAAATGCTTCTTCTGTCACTCTGAAATGGGTTTTGTGGAAAGAGACATCCTCTTCTTTTCTTTGTCTCTGCTGGTGACTCTTGTGTGAATGCACTCCAGTAGTTGGTGGACCATCTGCATGGTGGCTGTGGCATCTAGCCGCTTTTGCAGCAGCCATGGTTATTGTGGTGGCTGTGGTGGGCTACCCACGTGGAGATGATGTTTTTGGCATGCTCCTTGGCACTGGCGGTATGCCTGGTTGTGGGGTGTGCTTGGTCCCCTTCTCTATGCCTCAGGTACCCAGGTGGGCCCCAAGGTGCTGGCGTGGTGTGCCTTGTGTGAGGAGGGTCTGGTTCCTGGCTCCATGCCTCGGGTCACTGGGTGGGACCCAAGGCACTGGCTTGGTGTGCCTGGTTGTGGGAGAGAGGTCCAGTCCCCTTCTTGATGCCTCAGGTCCCTGGGCAGGCCTTGAGGCGCTGGTGCAGTGTGCCTGGTTGTGGGAGAGAGGTCCAGTCCCCTTCTCCATGCCCTGGGTCCCCAGGTGGGCTCCGAGGTGCTGGCATGTTGTACCTGATTGTGGGAGGGAGGTCCGGTCCCCTTTTCCATGCTCCAGGTCCCTGGGTGGGCTCCAAGGTGCTGGCATGTTGTGCCTGGTTGTGGGAGGCTGGTCCAGTCCCCGACTCCATACCCCGGTCCCTGGGTGGGCCCCAAGGCGCTGGCTCAGTGTGCCTGGTTGTGGGAGGGTGGTCTGGTCCCCTTCTCCATGTCCTGGGTCCCTGGGCAGGGCCCAAGGTGCTGGCATGGTGTGCCTGGTTGTGGGAGAGAGGTCCAGTCCCCTTGTCCATGCCTCAGGTCCCTGGGTGGGCCCTGAAGCTCTGGCGCGGTGTGCCTGGTTGTGGGAGAGAGGTCTAGTCCCCTTCTCCATGCCCCAGGTCCCCGGGTGGTCACCGAGGTGCTGGCTTAGTGTGTTGGTTGTGGGAGGAAGATCCGGTCCTCATCACCATGCCCCGGGTCCCTGGGTGGGCCCAAGGTGCTGGCTTAGTGTGCTTGGTTGTGGGAGAGAGGTCCAGTCACCTTCTCCATGCCTAGGTCCCCGGGCGGGCCCTGAAGCACTGGCACAGTTTGCCTGGTTGTGGGAGAGAGGTCCAGTCCCCTTCTTGATGCCTCAGGTCCCTGGGCAGGCCTTGAGGCGCTGGTGCAGTGTGCCTGGTTGTGGGAGAGAGGTCCAGTCCCCTTCTTGATGCCTCAGGTCCCTGGGCAGGCCTTGAGGCGCTGGTGCAGTGTGCCTGGTTGTGGGAGAGAGGTCCAGTCCCCTTCTTGATGCCTCACCCGGGCAGGCCCCAAGGTGCTGGCATGGTGTGCCTGGTTGTGGGAGGGTGGTCTGGTCCCTTTCTCCATGCCCCGGGACCGTGGGCGGGCCCCAAGGCACTGGCTTGGTGTGCCTGGTTGTGGAGAGAGGTCCGTTCCCCTTCTCCATGACCTGGGTCCCTGGGCGGGCCCCAAGGTGCTGGCATGTGCCTGGTTGTGGGAGAGAGCTCCAGTACCCTTCTCCATGCTTTGGTTCCCCAGGTGGGCCCTGAAGCGCTGGCTCAGTGTGCCTGGTTGTGGGAGAGAGGTCTGTTCCCCTTCTCCTTGCCTCGGGCCCCCAGGCAGGCCCCAAGGTGCTGGCGTGGTGTGCCTGCTTGTGGGAGAGAGGACCATACCCCTTCTCCTTGCCCTAGGTCTCTGTGTGGGCTCCGAGGTGCTGGCATGTTGTGCCTGGTTGTGGGAGAGAGGTCCGGTACCCTTCTCCAAGCCCTGGGTCCCTGGGTGGGCTCCGAGGTGCTGGCATGTTGTGCCTGGTTGTGGTAGGGTGGTCTGTTCCCCAACTTCATACCCCAGGTCCCTGGGTGAGCCCTAAGGCGCTGGCTCAGTGTGCCTGGTTGTGGGAGGGGGGTCCAGTCCTCTTCTCCATGCTTCAGGTCCCCAGGCTGGCCCCGAGGCACTGGTGCAGTTTGCCTGGAAGTGGGAGTGGGGTCCAATCTCCACATCCAAGCCTCCAGTTCCCAGGCAGGCCCCAAGGTACTGGTGGTGTGCCTGGGCCGGAACTAATTTTTTGTCCTTTGCTTCTAACACAGGGGAACTGCCTGTGGGAACCAGTACTTGAATGTGTGGTTGTTTAAATTGCTACTTTACTGCTGTTTCCCTAGGGAAGGCTTTTTGTGCAGCTCAGGGTTTAATGGTTGACCTTATAGGTACTTCCACTTCTCCAGAGACCCGGGGGATCTGTGTTCTGTAGAATCTCTGATCTGGGCCTGAGTTTTTTCATCAAACTGCACCCCATACAATTCTACATTCCTGACCAGTCTCCTCAGACTGGTCCTGTGCTGATTGGGGGGCAGATCGGCTGTCCTTGCTGTGTCCCGGTGTTCCCCTTGTGGGCACATCTCCCCCACTGCCCGTGCTGCAAACACTTCCCATGGGACGGGCCCTGTGCCGGTCCCTTGCTATGACTCACTGGCCTCTGAGTGGCTCCCTTTTTTCAGTTTTTCTGGTTCCTTGCTCCTGTGTGGGTCCATGTGAGCCCTGTTAGTCGTCTTGCTGTCCTGGGGCCGCCAAGGCCCTCTTCTCTCTTGCTGCCTCCAAGCAACTCCATCCGAAGGGCACAGCTGCGGCTTCTGCCAGCTCCTGCTCCATGCGCTCAGCAGCTCAAGCCTTAAAGCAGCCGCAGCCTGAAATGCTCAGAGCAGCTCTTTCTTTCTCTTCGTAGTTTCTCCCGCCTTCATGAACTCTGTAGGTCTCTCTTCCTCTTCCCCTCAGCTCCAGCGGCGCTGGCTTGGCTGATGTTACATTTTTAAAGTTGTATATTTGGTTGATTTCTGGGAGAGAGTGACGCTGCAGACTGTCTGTTCTGCCATCTTGATTGGACCTCTGGGAATCAAATTTTTAACACATGAATTTGGGGGGATACATTCAAACCATAGCAGCCAAATTAATTCTACAAAGAATATCTTCCCCCATCTACTTTTTGGTTACCCACTGGTGCCATTTATATTAGACAGGCAGGATAAACAAGAGATTATTCTTCCCACTTAATTACCATTTTCAAATCAATGAATGAATAAGTTCTCTAGAATCCTTCAACTCTGACCAATTAAGTTTGCTCTTTCTTTTAAAAACATTATGAACTCATGGATTTAAGGATATTTAGTTTGTTTCAGTTCACTGTAGATAGTGTTCTTATTAATATTCATATTGTCCTGTCTTTGGCCAGTGGGAGCATCTTCAGATTAGTGCCTGAGTCCTTTTGGTAGATCTTAGTTGTCTTTGCTAGCTTTACTGTTCTCTGGTCTACAAGGGTTTCAGGCTGTCATGCAGTTTCTTCTTGAGACCTGTGATCAGCTACTTCTCCAAGAGGCCTGGCTCCTTTTAGTGGAAAGGGGTATTTGAAGAGCAGAGGTGCTCACTGATACTGAGTTAGTCATTTTCTGGACAGAGCAAGGAAATTTTTTTAAGATAAAATGATCTTGACTTTGTATTGATATTTTCAATTCACATTCAAAACTGTGAATTTAACATTCTTAGATCTTACATCTGTACTTTCTTCCTCTCAAGCTTAGAATCCTGGTTGTCACAGCCCCAGATAGGATAGGATATCACATGATGACTCTTGCTTCATCCCTCAGTAGACACACAACAGCCTCAGAATAACGATGCCAGCATTACAGTGCAGTGCCAAAAGCAATTTAAGGTGG